CCGCCATGGCTATGTAGCAAGACTGTGTGTCAAAAAAATAATCATACGTACTGTCCCAGTCTCCTCTGTTGCTGTGATAAAACACTGGCCTAAAGCAATTAGGGGAGGAAAGGGTTATGTCAGCTCACAGTTCTACTCCATCACTGAGGGGAGCCAGGGCAGGAGCTCAAGGCAGGAACCTGGAGGCAGGAACCGAAGCACAGACTATGGAGGAACGCTGCTTACTGGCTTGCTCCTCTGGCCTGTGCTCAACCACCCACAGTGGGCTGGGCCTCCCACATCACTCAACAGTTTCGAAAATGGTCCACAGACATGACCACATATCTGACAGAGGAAATCTAAAGTGTCCAGCGCAGTGGCACAGCTGGGTCACATGACTGCGCTAATCGTTCGTGGTCCAAATAGAATGATTTCCAAAGTGCCTGCAGCTGTCCACACTGCCGGCAGCGTCTGAGTCTGCTCTTCACAACATCCGTGCCAGGACTGATTCTCTTTATTTCCTGGTGATGGCCGTTTCTGTTAGGGTGAGGTGGGATCTTAAAGTCCTTTAATTTGCATTTCCCTGATGGCGAAGGATATCGAGCACTTTTTGAGGCGTTTCTAGAGGAAATCTAAAGCGTCCAGCGCAGTGGCACAGCTGGGTCACATGACTGCGCTAATCGTTCGCGGTCCAAATAGAATGATTTCCAAAGTGCCTGCAGCTGTCCACACCGCCCGCAGCGTCTGAGTCTGCTCTTCACAATATCCGTGCCAGGACTGATTCTCTTTATTTCCTGGTGATGGCCGTTTCTGTCAGGGTGAGGTGGGATCTTAAAGTCCTTGAATTTGCATTTCCCTGATGGCGAAGGATATCGAGCACTTTTTGAGGCGTTTCTGGCCACGTGCATTTCTTCTTTTGAGAATTTTCTGTTCAGTTCCAAAGCCCGTTCTTTAACTGGGTTGTTTATTTTCTTAATGTTTGGTGTTTGGGGTTCTTCATGTGGTTGACTTTAACGAGTTCTCCCACGACCGTTATTCATCTAGGACAATGCTCTCTCCCTCCCTGGCAGTTGGATCTCCAAGTTCCCCAGCACAGAGCAGCCCTCTGTGAGGCTGTCACTTGACTGCCCGGGTCTCTTAGGGGTGGAGTAGAGCTGCAGTTGAGCCCATCTCTCTCCTGCCTCAGCATGAGCACATGATCATCACACCACTTCACCCATTTAAAACCACAGCTGTGGAGATATTAATGGTGTAAAGGCCATATTAATGCAGTGCTAATTCCACTGCAGCAAGGGGCATCCTCTCTGAGACAGATCACCCTGGACAAGGAGGGCTTTCCCTTTGTCTTAAGGTGGCCCTAACCTCTTGCACAGGGGGCATGATGGTGTGGAAGAGGATTGTCTCTGACCACCTGTCAATGTCACCACCTGACCCAGGCTTGCACCACCCATGTGGACACACAATAGTGCAAGAGCAGAAATGCCCCCCCCAATCTGGGGCACACCTTCCCCAAGTCCCTGGAGGGCAGTGCACACAGCAGCACCTATCTTCCAAGGCTGTTGCCTCTGTGAGGCACATAGTAGGTGCACAGTAAATGCCAGGTGCTGACCCTCATTGATCTAAGTGAGTCGTAAGTAGGACTAGGCCTGAATCCCCCACCACTTCCTCTGCTGCCCAGAAGCTAGCAGATGGACTGTGCCACCCTGGGCGGCTTCTTTCCAGCTGAAAAACGCAAATGCTCACTCCTTTTTCAGGTTCTTTGGAGTTAATGATTAGAGTGTTCCAGGAATATGACTGAGGTATGGGAGACTGCTTGCCTTCAGGTCGGCAGGTGGAAGAGGCCTGGGGTGAGCTGTTACTCAGTGACTGCCCAGAGACACAGAACGGATTCTGGGAGGCCCCTTCTCCGTAAGCTAATGTCTTTCTGAGATGAGCTGTCAATGACAAGTGCCCAAGGCCACGTCCTCCCTCCAAGCCAGTTAAAATGGAAGGTGTCTGTTCTGTCCCCTCCTGCCCAGCAGAACCTGTCACCCCACCTTCTCCCATCATCTACAGGAGAGAGAGAGCCCTTTGTCTGTCAGTCTTCCTACTTGAGTCTAGTTCCACCTCACCTCTGAGGTGGTCACCAAGCCCCTGTGTGTGCTTCTAGAGATGGAGAACCACGGCTCCCAAAGCCAGTCTATCCTGGGAAGCATGAGCCAGGCAGTTCTTATGCTGGGCTGATGTCCTCACATCACAGCTCCTGCCCATGATCTTGTTCTGACCATCCCGAGGACTGCTGGCATAGTCCTATCCACACCCACGCTTCTCCTGCAGAGCATCCCCATTCCACACAGAACACCAGAACACCAGCCAGCAGGAACAGGGCTCAGTTACTTTCACCCAGCTCTACGTGGAACACGAGGCAATAGTCCACACCCACGCTTCTCCTGCAGAGCATCCCCATTCCACATGGAACACCAGAACACCAGCCAGCGGGAACAGGGCTCAGTTACTTTCACCCAGCTCTACGTGGAACACGAGGCAATAATGACCTATAACCTTCATCCTGCTCCGCACAGAACATCAGCCAGCATGAGCAAGACTCGGTTACCCTCATCCACTCTGGTTTGAGCGCCTGCTGCATGCCAGGCCCTAAGTGACACCCAGCCTTTGCCAGGAAATAGCACAAGGTTTACAGTGTCTCCAGCAACTCCCAGAGCTGAAGTTACCCTCATCCACTCTGGTTTGAGCACCTGCTGCATGCCAGGCCCTAAGTGACACCCAGCCTCTGCCAGGAAATAGCACAAGGTTTACAGTGTCTCCAGCAACTCCCAGAGCTGACAGAACTGGGTGAGGACAGAAGCCACCGTGGGTGACTGCAACTTACCTACAGCAGTGCACCCCAACACCTCACTGCCCACAGTTTCCTGTGCCTTTGTGAAGGGTCTCCCTTCTCCAGTGCCAGAGCTTGGGCTTTTCTTAGGGACAGGTGGGAAGGGAACATGCTTCCTCACAGGCTCTAGGTAGAAAAGAATCAATTCCAGACAGTTCTTGTGTTTCTGTCCTGGGTGTCAACTTGACTGGATCTGGGATTAACTGAAATGAGAGTGATCTTCTTGATTGGATCATCTGAAGCTGGAAGACACACCCTAAATGTGGATGTTACCTTCTGATGGCAGTCCGTATAAAAGGCCATGGCAGAGGAGAATGCCTGGCTTCTTGCTGCTTGCCTTCTCTTTCACTGGTGAGTTCATCTTGCTGCTGTAGACTGAAGACTAGCTATCTTTTGGAATTCGTCAGACCTTCAGCACCAGATTGGGACTACTGAGACATCCAGCCTCGTGGACTGAGAGACTATGGATTCTCAGCCTCTCCACTGTGGAACAACCATTCTTGGAGTACTCAGTCTCTATCCTGTAAGCTAAGCTGATAAACCTCTATATATATATGTTCATTCTACCAGTTCTGTCTCTTTAGGGAACCCTAATACAAGTGCCATCCATGCTAAACTTAGCTTGCAGACATCTGCCTCACCCTGATGAAACTGATGGCAAAGGACTGTGAGCGGGAGCCAAGGGCACCTCTAGTGACTGCCCAGTACTCAGCATTCAGGATAGAATAAAGTGAGGAGAGGAAGGGGGGAAGGAGGAAGGACAGGATAGTGTTCCAAAGGTGGAAAGGACTGGCTCTAAGTTACTGTTAGGGAACAACTATGTCCCTCTAAATTCATATATTGAGTTTCTATGCCCCAGTGCGATGGCATTCAGAGACTAGGCTCTGGGAGATAATTAAGAACAATCAGATCATGAGGGTGGGGCCTCTAGGGTAGTATGCGTGACTGTGGGAGAAACCTCTCTCTCTCTCTCTCTCTCTCTCTCTCTCTCTCTCTCTCTCTGATGACTGTGGGAGAAACCTCTCTCTCTCTCTCTCTCCCTGCCCCCCTTCTCCCCTCTCTCCAGTTCTGTGGAGGTCAGGGGACAATCCCAGCTGCTGGTCCTCACCTTCCACCTTTCTTGATGCAGGTCTCTCTGCTGTCTGCAGCTCTACTCGCCAGGCCAGCTGTCCCACAGACTTCTGGGGATTGTGTCTCCACCTCCAATCTCGCCACAGAAGCGCTGGGATTACAGACTCACACTACAGCATCTGGCTTTATGTGGGTGCTGGGGATCTGAACTCAGGTCCTCCTGTGTTCATGGCAAGCAGTGTACCGCCTGAACGATCTTCCCAAACCCAGTACTGTTTTTATATGTGGGGATAAGAGAGTTTGTGTTGGTGATCTGAACACATGATTTTGACTGTGAAAGCACAGAGTGATAGATACGTTTCCACATTTCTCTCTTCATAGCACAGCTTCTTTGGAAAATCACTACTTTTTCCTGTAGAAATTTCACTCTTACCAGGAGGAGATAAATTAATTATGTGTTAAATTTTATATTCTCTGCTGGGCAGTGCTGATCAAGGGCCCTTGAGGCTCACAGCCGGCTTGTACCTGGAGTGGAGGTAGTGCTTGTACATGTCCTGTCTTGGTTTGGGCTGACACTCTGAGTTTTACTTTTAATCTTTGGCTTCTTTGAGGGATTTACTTATTTTGACAGTCGCAGATAACCCAGTCTGGCCTTAAACTTGCTACGTAGCTAAGAACAACCTTGAATTCCTGATCCTCCTGCCTCCTCCTCCTTGGTGCTGAGACTACAGGTGCACACTATCTTGCCTGTGCATTTGTCAGGACTAATTCAACCAAAAGCAAAAAACTACCATTCTCCAATCTGCTAATAATTACACAGAACATCATTCTACACTGTAAATTACACTCTACACTGTAAATTATTCTAGCCAGTAAATAACACAGAGCATCATTCTACACTGAAAACAAAGAAAACGAAGCGTGTTCTGCCAGCCCCTCCACGCTGTAGGGCCTCCCACACCTCATGGACCATAATATTCCAGGCCTAGTCACAATGAAATTTTATAAAACTACATAGAACCCCAGCTTCTCCTTCTGAACCCCCTATTCATTCTCCACTTAGGCCATCAGGACTGCGAACAGTGAAAGGACCTTGAACCTGAATTAGAAACCCTGTAGTTTCTGCCCTTAAATCCCAACAGCAGTTGAAAAGGAATGTCTTGATGAAGCTCCTATTTTTAGAAGCGCGGAATCCTGCACTGTGCAAAGAGAGCTCAGAGCACCCTTCTGCACAAGATCGCAAAGGACTGTTGCCTGCGTTCTGCATGACACCCCATCACCTGCCATCTTAAGAGAAAGAACCTTCCAGGCCATGCTGGGCTCCACTCTGAAAGGCGGTGAAGAGCACTCAAGAAGGAGGTAGAGCACAGAGACCACATGGCACAGCCCCCCACACAGGCAGCTCAGAGCACCTGTGCATGACCTGATCCTGGCCCCATTGTCCTGGAGACCAGAAGTCTGAAATCAAGGTGCCAGCAGGGCCATGCTTCTGGTCAAGCATCCTGAGTGCTCCATCCTCAGTGCTCCTCCCTCCTCAGTGCTGATCCTCAGTGCTCCTCCACCCTCAGAGTTCCATCCTCAGTGCTCCTCCCTCCTCAGTGCTGATCCTCAGTGCTCCTCCACCCTCAGCGTTCCATCCTCAGTGCTCCTCCCTCCTCAGTGCTGATCCTCAGTGCTCCTCCACCCTCAGCGCTCCATCCTCAATGCTCCTCCACCCTCAGTGCTCATCCTTAGTGCCCCTCCACCCTCAGTGCTCCATCTTCAGTGCTCCTCCCTCCTCAGTGCTCCTCCATTCTCAGTGCTCATCCGTACTGCCCCTCCTCCCTCAGTGCTCCATCTGCAGTGCTCCTCCCTCCTCAGTGCTCCTCCATTCTCAGTGCTCCTTGATTGGCAACTGCATCCCTCCAGCCTCTTTGCTGTCTTATGCTTATCTTCCCCCTGTGCTGCTGCATCCCATCCCTTCTCCTCTGCCTGTTAGAACAAGAAACAGTGCCTCGGCCACTCCAGTGTGACTCCCCAGAGTGGTGTTTCCAGAGGGCACACTCATAGGTACCTTGTGCGGACAGGCACACACCCGAGCCCTACAGATGGCTGCAGCACCGTGTACCAATTGTCCAAACAAAGAGAAAAGTGACGGGAGATAGATGAACCAAGGGCAGGAGAATGCAGCCAGCACCCACTGGAATCATGAGTGTAGTCCCAGGGCTCCAGGTCCTCACACATGCTGGGCAAACGTTCACTCACTGAGCCACATCCCCAGCCCCTGTGCTGTGTGTATAGTGCTCACTGCTCGGTAGGTGCCAGGCAGCATTCTAATGATGCAGTTGACATTCAGTGCTGGACACAACTCCAATGCTCTAATGTCTGTAGTAGGTGAGGAAACAGGCACAAAAGCTTCAAATAACTCACCTGGAATCAAGGAAGGGGAAAAGCCAGGGTTTCGGTGGGGGAGCATAGTCACCAGTCGGCCTCTATATTTGTTACCTGTCTCATCTCTGTGACCAGCACCTGACAAAGCAGTGTAAGGGGTGGAGCACCTGTTCCAGACCATGAAGCCCATGGTCTGGAAAGCATGGATGGGGAGCAGCTCCAGGCTCTGGCTGCAAGAGTGTGTGGTTGCTTCTCAAATGTCTAGAGACCAAGAAAGTATCATGGGGGGGAGGGGGAGATTGGCTGCTTCTCAAATGTCTAGAGACCAAGAAAGTATCATGGGGGGGAGGGGGAGACAGAGACAGAGACAGACAGAGAGAGACAGAGATAGATAGAGACAGAGACAGACAGAAACAGACAGAGGCAGAGAGACAGAGAGAGACAGACAGACAGACAGAGACAGACAGACAGAGACTGGTGCTTAGCTCACTTTCCCCTTGACAGAGAGAGACAGAGATAGATAGAGACAGAGACAGACAGAAACAGAGAGAGACAGACAGACAGACAGAGACAGACAGACAGAGACAGACAGAGACAGACAGACAGAGACTGGTGCTTAGCTCACTTTCCCCTTTCCCTCTTCCCTTTTACTCAGTCTGGATCTCTATCCCGTAGGATGATGCTGTCCACATTCAAGGTGCGTTTTCCCCCTTCAGTCAAATCCCTCTGGAAGCATCCTTATAGATACACCCAGAGGTGTGTCTCCTATGTGATTCTAAATTCAGTCAAGTTGGCCATGGAGATGAGCCATCACAGCCTCATCCTTCATATCGCACGTTTGCACAGGCAGGCCATGAGCGTGAGCGGGCTTTTCAGGTACCATGACATCATCTTGGCCCATACCAAGTCCAACAAAGGAGGCTTGAGGCTGCAGTGATGTGTCCAGGTCCCACAGCTAGTGCACAATGTCACAAGGTGGGAACCCAGCTCGGTCCATCTCTAGGACCCGTCCCCTTTCCCTTTGGCTGTGCTATCAGTGCAGGGTGCTGTGTTGTGGGGATGTTTGAAGTACAGAGTTGGGCTAGGATTGACTTTCTGAGTTTGTGAGGCATGTGCTCTGAGTCTGTGAGGCACGTACCAGCTCTAGACACAACTTCATTGATCTAAAACAGCTCAGAGCAATGAATCTGACCCAGTCAAGTACACCCACCTTCCTTTACTTCTTGTTATGGGCATAAAGCGCGGGCTGGAAGGATGCAGGGGCTCAGCAATCCGCGACAGCAAGGGAAAA